ATACGAAGTAGGAGTTCTCAAATTTTGCAATGTACCACGTCCACGATGCCACTCTGGAGATGATGATGCATACAATGGTCTCCGCATTCGGTGCTTTACTCTAGCTCCTGCTACCAACATGTCCAAGTTGCCAAAACAAGGTCAGCCAACGTCACCTCAACAAAAGGAGACTGCGACCACACAAGAGGCCACACCATCTTGCTCTTCACACCTTCGAAAGCTTCGATGAGTTCACCAGCCGCATTCCTCGAACCGTTGTACAAACAGAGCCGTCAGCTACATAGTCTGCCAGCCCATGGGAACAGGACTTCGGGGCCAACAAAAGGAGGGCTGCAGGGCGTGATTCGTGCCGCCAAGGTACAGTTTTGCAAGCCCTTGCTGGGGCGCCTCAGGCTTGAATGTCCTCCTCCCGAAGGCCTCGTTCGGCGTCGCGATAAGACCAGCCCTACCGACCCAGACGCGCTCCATCCAAAATAGGGTGCTCCCGTCTCTAGCCCCATCGCATGGACAGCCCGTCTGTCGACAACGCGGCCAACAAGTTGTCATGACGACGGCTTATCGTTTATGCTTTGTTAGGCAGGAGAACAATTGCATGAAAATTACTCATCGTCACCAAGGCGCCGATGCAAGTTGGAACGACGCCCGGACAAGCCGGCCAGGCGGCCGTGCCAAATGCTGAGGCTGTCGCCGGAGCGCGACTCGACGAGATCGGGTCGCACGAAATGGCGTCGTCGAACGGCCGAGGCGAGTTGACTCATTTTGTGAGGCCTACCCAAAAAGTGTCCATCTCAAAAAGGCGATTCGCAATAGCACTCCTTCGCCTTGCCTAAGGCAGAACAAACATATCGATCGATTGCCTTCAGTCATGTCTGTACGCACGTTGGCTGTTTCGCCTCGAGCTCGACTGGCCCAAGCCCCAGGCCTAATTGAGACAGACGCTGTGGCGGAAAATCGATAAGCCTGATGGCCTACCTTGTTATTCATTGGCTGCCGGCATTACCAAACGCAGCTCGCCGCGGTAGGACTTACGAGTGCATGCTTGTGCATACACCCAGCTACACTCATGTTACCTGCATACACGCAGACACCGTGGGCACAGACATGTGAGTACACACACACACACAAGGTGCACAGACATGACAGACACCAACTCTGATGGGCACTGACATGTGTACACACCGTGAGAGCAACGTGGGCCCAAACGTACACACACGCATGCGCACAACGAGGCGGGCATTGACACGCGAATTGCCAAGTGTCTTTGACTATGCCAGCTCGTCTTTAGTGAAGAGTAGAGCGCATGACCGCGTCAGATTGAGGCGAGAGGCTGGTTGAAACCTTGAAAACTCGCCTCTTTTCCCATCTCGCCACGTCGTCCTGCGTCGTAGACCGGCTTGCCTGCCAGCCTACCAGCCTGCCAGTATCCGATGGCAACCGCATCTGCCGCTCCGGCCAGCGCAGACCTTCCGGTCAGTCCGCGCCGTGGGCTCGCACGCGTCGCCGGCTCGTCTCAAGCAGAGTGGAAAGTGGAGCCGAATTGGCGGTACCCTTTTCGGAAGTGTAGTTGACCAGCTTCGAAGAGCATTTGTCATGGCAACTGTTTAGATTAGTCGATTTTGGGCGCGATGCAGTGGTGCTGACACGCCTCGTGTCAGGGTCGGGTTGCCATTGTTGCGGTC